CCCAAAAAAAAAAAAGCATTGTGTTTTTTGTTTCTGAAATGAAAAACGAACAAAAACACTGTGTTTTTTGGTTTTTGAAATGAAGAACTAAAAAACCGAAGGAAGAAACAAATAATAATAAAAAAAATATATATAAAAAATGAAATATTTCCAGGACCTCCCTAGGGATTGTTTTTTTGGTGTTCCGGTTTGCCTTAAGTTTTTTGTTGTTTAATTTCCCACGAGAAATCGTGTCGATGCAGAGCTGAGGTTAGTTATTTCAGTTGGCCCATTGCGTCAGGTCCCAGAGAGCATTTACGATCCCCCCCTCCCCTCCACCCGCACATGCCTTTCGAGTGATCACCGCCCACGCCTTTTCCGTAAGCTTTTTTTTGTTTCTCAAGCTGAAAGCTTTACGCGGCCAGTGATCACAACTCCCGATCATGGCCAGTGCTCACAACTCCAGAGCCGACAGCTTCGCGCGGTTCTTCTCGGTGCCAGATGATCGCGGCATCACCTTTGAGGAGGCGATCGCGCGTGCGAAGGACAAGAAGCGCGGCCCGCTCTTGTCCCAGCCGATCGTGAAGAACCTCATGCCTGAGGACGTCGGGCCAGACCAGACGTGGCTGGGCAACCTTCCGATGGTCCCCGCTGAAGGTTCGACCGAGCTCGCCCAGTGGATGGACTTCGCGCACCCCTACGAGGGCCCACACCCGCACGTAGAGCAGGACCAGCCTGAGCAGAGGATGGCAAAGTTGAAGGAGCTGGAGGGGATTGCCATGTCCAACTACTACGAGAACTACCCTGACAATCTGAAGCCCGCCAACAAGAGCATTCTGCCGTTCACGATGCAAACGTTCATCACGAAGAACCCTGACAACACGCGCAGCCTGCTCAAGCTGTTCACCTTGGTTGGCGTTAAAAATGGCCTGGGCATGTTTTCCCCATTTCCAACTTTCCGCTCTTGGAGAGCTGGAAATGGTAAAAAATGAAACATGTTTTCTCATTTTTTGTTCATTTGTTTGTCATGTTTCGCTGCCTCTGTGAGGCCGCCTTTCTGTCTCATTTCCTGGCGTTCCTCTTGTGCCCCTACTATTAGGACGACGACAACGACGCCGACGATGACGATGCCGACGAAGACGTCGACGACTACTTCTACTACTGCTACTGTTACTGCTACTGCTACTACTATTATTGCTACTACAACGACTACTACGACGACGACTACTACTAGTACTACGACGACTACTACTACTACTATTACTACTACTACTACTACTACTACTACTTACCTACTACTACTACTACTACTACTACTACTACTACTACGACTACTACTACTACTACTTACTACTACTACTACTACTTCTACTACTACTACTACTACAACTACTACTTCTACTAGTACTACTACTACTACTACTAGTACTACTACTACTACTACTACTACTACTACTACTACTACTACTACTACTACTACTACTACTACTACTACTACTACTACTACTACTGGAGGCGACGTTTTTGATCTCGAAGTGGATTTTCATGAACTCCATGATGGCCTGGCGGCTCAGGCATTGCGCGGACACCATCGCTGAGTCGTGGCGTCGCTGGCGCGCCCCAGCCCTTGGCTTGATCCAGTAGCTGCGCGGACAGGGGAACGGCGGGAGCCCAGAACCGGAGTTCGTACTCAGAGTTAAAAATGGTTAAAAAATGTATTGGAAATGGTAAAAACATGGTCGAAATCAGGCCCAGAGGCCCCCTGGCCGTTTGGGGAAGCTCTGCTGGCTGCTTTCTTGTGGCTGCTCTCACTGCGCGCGCAGCCGCTGGATCAAGCCAGCCGGTGGAGCTCGGCAAAGGGCTGGGCGCAAACCAAGTAGTAGTAGTAGTAGGTAGTAGTAGTAGTAGTAGTAGTAGTAGTAGTAGTAGTCGTAGTTGTCGTAGTAGTAGTAGTAGTAGTAGTAGTAGTAGTAGTAGTAGTAGTAGTAGCAGTAGTAGCAGTAGTAGTAGTAGTAGTAGTAGTAGTAGTAGTAGTAGTAGTAGAAGTAGTAGTAGTAGTAGTAGTAGTAGTATGGTAGTAGTATGGTAGTAGTCGTAGTAGTAGTCGTAGTAGTAGTAGTAGTAGTAGTAGTAGTAATAGTAGTAGTAGTAGTACTAGTAGTAGTAGTAGTAATAGTAGTAGTAGTAGTAGTAGAAGTAGTAGTAGTAGTAGTAGTAGTAGTAGTAGTAGTAGTAATAGTACTAGTAGTACTAGTAGTAGTACTCGTACGGAAAAGATCTGACCTGGAAATGACAAAAACTGATCCGGAAATGAAATAAAAATGATTCATTTTCTTAGCATTTCTAATTTTTATGTTGAGATCTAAAAATGGTAGAAAAATGATTGTCAAGATGCCGAGCTGGAAATGGTGAAAAAAATGCCCAGACCATTTTTAACGCCAACCAAGCTGTTCACGATGGAGAAGGACAGCAAGATTAAGTACAGCGATGCATTTCAGATGTGCCACGGGTCGATGTACAAGGTGGACTACGGCAAGCACTTCAGAGATGGATCCAGAGAACTGCAATATCAACTTGAACGGTTGCCAGGCTTCCAGGTGAGATACTATGCCGCGGTGGACTCGAGCGCTCCGAAGCGGCCCACGGATGTGGACTCGAAACGCAAAGGCTCGAGCGTCGCCAATGGTGTCCCTGGCCCGAGGTTTTCCTAGGATTTCCTGGGAGGCCCCCGCGGCCTCCAGAGCACTCCTCACGAGGCCCAGAGGGCCCCAGGGGGTCCAAAATGGCTTGAAAAGCTGCGGGCACCTCGGGCCAGGGATACCTTTAGCAACTCCCGAAAGGCTTCGAATACATCAAGGAGCACGGGCCGAAGAGCAACATGGACAACGCGGCCCTGGAGTTGGCGGAGATTGCCTGCGATGACCCCGAGTCGCCGATCTACGGCTGGCCGAAGTCCCTCGTGGAACATTCGTGCCTCAACCACGGGAAATCCGCGGCTGCCGCCTGCAAGCAGGCGTTCAAGCATCTCACGCTCTGGGACATCAGGGGGTGGTTCTTGATGTGCGTGCTGGCGCCGATCTTGGGCCCCTGGCGGAGGAAGTCATTCATTTTCCTCGGCGAGTCTGGCTTCGGGAAGAGCCCGCTGGCAAGGGTTCTGGCCATGCTGTTCTCCATGTGGCACATCGAGAACGATAACATTGACGAGGGGCCTGGATTTCGCCTCTGCAACTCGTTCGAACATCTCCGGCACGAAGTGGGCAAGCGCGAGGTAACGGAGGTCTTCGACGACGGCGATCTGGAGCAGCAGGACCAGGCCAAGCTCATGGCGTTCCACGACAACACCGAGAGGGAGGCCCGCGCGGTTGAAAAAATATACTACGACCTGCTTCGTAGGACAGAGTACCCGCACCACTGCGAACAACGCCTACGACGAGAGCGCCCTGCCGACGGATGCCGAGCTCGCAGTGACATCGCCCGTTGCCACGGCCAAGCAGTTCTACGAGGCGGTGCGCCCATCGTTCAACGCGAACCTCTCCAAGAAGAACTGGATGGCACTCTTTAAAAGGAGCAATCTCGTGCTGTTTGATGAGAGGGGCGTGTTCGCCAGACCTGCTGGTATCGAGAAGGTGCCAGTTCCGTTCATTGCGTACCAGATTGAGGGCAAGCCAGACATTCTGACCGATGAGTGCAAGGAGCACTACGGAAACTTCCTCGAGAACGGCAACGTTCCCGCTCCTGACGACTACGACGAGAAGATGGCGTGGTCCATGGCGCACCTGAAGGTCTGCATGGCAGGCCAGACGCCTCCGCCGATCAAGACCACCGTGACTCGCAGCATCGTGAACGCGTCGCGCGGGTCCGCTGGTCTCTACCAGAACAAGACCACCGTCGTGGAGAGCAGGCCAACCACTCACCAGCTTGAGAACATGCTGGCCAGCAGCGGCTCCGCGGGGGCGCAGCCGACGGAGGCGGCCGCGGAGCAGCTCGAGCAGGAGCAGTTGGAGCAGGTCATGCGCCAGAGTGCTGAGGCGATCCCTCTCGGCCCAGGAGAGTGGCAGGGCCAGGGGGCGGGAGGCGTCGCGGTCAAGGAGGAGATGGGGGATTCTCCGAGGGTTCGCGGACGCTGGGGCAAGCGCCTTGAGCCCGAACAAGCTGATGAAGACTTCCAACGGCGACAGCCGCGACGAGGATCTCAACCTCGACGAGGTCGTAGGCGCGGCGCTCGAGGACCAAGGGGAGATCGATGCAGCGCCGCCTGCGGCAACCGCCGCTGGCGATGGCGCGGGTTGAGTGGCTCTCAGAGTCGTGCAGGTCGCTTCCTACGCAGATGGCCGCGGAGCTTGCCACGTCCATGCGCGCGCTTCTCTGCGCTGCAGTCCGTGTACAGGGAATGCTTTTCAGAGGCGCTTGCGCTTTGCAGAACCTTTTTGAAGCCATTTTGGTACCAAAACCATGGGAATTCCTCGAATTCGAGACCCCTCCCTTTTTAGGATTTTGGGGGGGGTCTCGAACTCACGCGAAAATGACATGTGTATGCTTTTTTTTGTTGTTCAGATTTTATATCATGTTTTACATATGTTCTGTTATTCTGTCGGATATTCACATTTGGTTCAGAGTATGCATAGAAAAGAGATAGGATTTCAGATATGATGCGAGTTCTCTAGCTCTTGGGTGAGGGGTGAAACTATAACTAATGTTGAATGTCAGGTGTGTTGCGAGCGTTTCGGTTTCAATATGTCCGTTGATAGCCGGGTTGACTCAAGCCTCGCATAGCCTCGGCAGGGCCTCCACGACCCTCGGCAGACCACACAGAAGAGCTGGCAAAATTCAACCATGAAATGGCACATCTTGAGTAACAGCTCTATCGCAACTCATTGAGAAGATGTGAGATTGCATCCTTGCGATTTCCGAAGGTATTGCATCCTTACCGAGATTTGATAAATGGTTTCCCCTTTTTCGGTTTCTAAAAAATGATGTGTCATTTCATGGTTGAGTGTTGTCAGATCTTCTCGGGGGCTGGCATGGTGTTCGACATCACCACGTACCGGCCCGCCTCGAAAACGCCGCCTCAGCCGCTAGCGCGCAGCGCGACGGACGCGCTGCGCGCGGCGCTGGAGCAGCAGCCGCAGCCCAGCGCAACAGCAGCGGACCAGCAGGAGCAGCAGCAGCCCCTGCCCAAGAAGCGCCCGAAGCCGAACCAGCAGCAGGAGCAGCAGGAGCAGCCGCAGCCCCTGCCGAAGAAGCGCCCGAAGCCGAACCAGCAGCAGGAGCAGCAAGAGCAGCAGGACGACGCGGCAAACCTAGAGAAGTTGATTCAGAAGAACCAGGTGGCTCTCCTGGTGCTAGAGAAGGGGGAGCCGCCCGCGCACCTCCTCGAGCAGTAGGCAGTAGGGCAAGCCGCAGAGAGAGGGGGGAGGAAGAGGAGGAGGGACGCCAAGGAGAGGAGGGAGGGGGAGAGAAAGGAAGGAGGGGGAGGAACAGAGAGAAGGAGGAGGAGCAAGGGAAGGAGAGAGGACGACAGACGAGGAGAAAAAAAAAAGACAGAAACAAACAAACGAAAGGAGCAGCAGCGACGGCAGCAGCAGGAGGAGCAGCAGCAGAAGCAGGAGGAGCAGCAGGAGGAGGAGCAGCAGCAGGGGCAGCAGGAGGAGCAAAAGGGCTCTGGCTCGCACGAGACCCGCTCTGGCTCTGGCTCGAAGGGCGAAAAAAACAAAGAAGAAGAGGCCAGCGCCATTCCGCCGCCCCTCAGAAGGAGCGCGTGCTTGCGACGATCGTGGAAGTTATAGTATCGACCAGGAGCTTGTTTGATGCTTGCAAAAGGGCAACAAAAAAAAGCTTTGGGGATCTCTGAGACCGCCTTGAAGGAGGGCGTGCTTGCGACGATCGTGGAAGTTCTAGTATCGACCAGGAGCTTTTTTGATGCTTGCAAAAAGGCAACAGAAAAAGCTTTTGGAGAGCTCAAAACGATGGGGGCTTTTTGTCGCCGAGCAGCAAACTTTTGGGTGGCGCTTTGGATAGAAAGAGCTCAAATAAATACACATGAAGATATATCAGATTTTCGCGTGTCCCAATCTGTTGAGAAGGTGCGGAATCACAAATTTGTTTTGTCTGAGTTGTATAGCAAAACAAGCAAGTTACAAACATGTGCAGTTACAAAAGCAATGGAAAACAGCACGTTGTGTATCTCTTCAATGATGAATTTGTTTCAGGTTCACAATCCTCGTGTTCAGTGGGGTCCAGTACCTAAAGCATTGCGCGGATATGTAGAAGGACTCAATTTAGAGAAAGGTGTATACCCAGGAGGATTAACAATTATGCTTTGTATGATAGCCAGCGGACGTTCTTCATCTCTGTCAAACTTATTACAAGAACCAACAATCAAACAATGTTTTGACAATGATTGGAGCAATCTTACAGTCGACAGAATGCGATACGTCATCTTGACTGCAGAGAATGAAAGCAAAGGATTGAAAATTGCAGAAGGTTCAACATCTGAAGTGAAACGTAGTGCTCTGCTTTGCAATGTCAATTACGGGTACCACACTGACTGGGTACGAGACTTCATGCGGGAATTCGATACAACGGAGAAGATATTTGAATCGTTTGCAGAATCATTCAAAAAACTTTCAAAGGTGACAGGCATTGGAGCACTCAGGGCAGTACATATTCTTCTTTTGATATTTATTGCATATGATGCCGAGATTGACGTGCCGGACGAAATGCTACACGATTTAGCAGGGCCAAATGTCAGACTGATGGAAACGATGTGTCAATATGCTGGGTTTACTTGTAAAGAGCTGTATATAAAAAAAGGTAAAGGAAGAGCTGCCGCATATGGAACCAATCGAATATGAAGTCTGGACGTGCAAAGTCGTTAATTTTATTTTTCTCTTGAATATGATGAAACAGCCAAGCTTGTGTTATCGTTCATTGAAAAAGGATATGCCAGAAAGGCGGCTAACCAAAAAGCAGAGGATTGAGTAGATTACGATTGCATCATATATGATATTGTTGTCACGCAATTTGACTTGTGCACTTGCGACTTTGCTGATGCATTGGTAAAGCGCTGTGTAGAAAAGAGATTGCACTTATGTGACAGATCTTATCTGCAGACAGCTGATGCTATTCCGCCAACCCTCAGATTCTTAGAATTTGCGATATATAGCATTTCCTAATGAAAATGGCAAACAAGAGAAATTGTCAAAAAAAATAGTCGACCTTCTGTTTTTAATGAAATTATGTGTTTTCTGTTTTCAACGTTTAAATTATGGTAAAAAACGCGTTTCGTTATCGGTTCCCTATGTGCGAATTATGTAGCACTTCCTAATGACAATGACAAATAAGAAGATCGTTAAACAACTATTATGTTTATCTTGCTATTTTTAATGGAAATATGTGTTTTTTCTATTTCAAACGTTAGAAGTCTGAAGAGGATGCGTCTCCTTATCGTTTCTCTAAGTATGAATCATATAGTATTGCCTAATGGAAATGATAAACCAGGAAATATGTGAAAACAATATTGTTTGCGTTTTGTTCTTCTGTTTTTAATGACAATAGTTGGCTTTCTGTTTGGAAGCGCAGAAGAGTGGCAAAAACGCAATACTTATCAATTGTTGTTTAATGCGTTCTGCGATTTTCTTTAAAATGCTTGCTTGGGTGTGTTTGTTTTACGTTGTTGATTTTTTTTCTGCCGTGCGCTTTGCAAACAAAATAGCAAAACACAGTGTGTTTTGATAGGTTTCTATACAAAGTGATAGTTTCGCCTCGGTGAAACGTTCAGTGTTGATAATGTGCGGGCTGCGAAAACCAGCCCGCACAGCGTTCCCCTCTCTCTCTCTCTCTCTATATATATATATAATACAGCTACATATTCACATATATATATGTATGTATATGTATGTAGGTATATATGTGTATATATAGACATATATATATATATATATATATGCAGGTACACACAAATAGGTATGTGTGTTTGGCCTGCTGGGGTCCCCTGCCCAGCCTGAGATCGCAAGAAACAGTCCGAGACGAAACGTGGCTCCCAGGGCAGGGGTCCGCCAAGAAGCTGGAACGCGCGTGGCATGAATCACGTCCAGAGCACCTGGAGACGACGCCATGCATACGCCAAGACATAGAAAGGCCAAACACGAACGACAAAAACTTCAAACCTCGACGTGAGAGCCACTCACAAAGGTCGTCGACGTCGACTGCCAGAAATCCTGATGAGCCAACTTTGGGGTCGGCGGCAGAGGCGGCAGCCTTTAAATAAATACACACAAATAACAGGATTCCCCATATTTTGCCATATTTTCTAGGTTTTCGTCCTCCCCCCCACTTCCTATATTTTCCAATATTTTCTGGGGAATCGAGGATTCATTGGGTCTGTGTGTTTTTTCCTCTCCTGAAAGCCCTCTGGGCGCAGGTGGTCTAGCGCGTTTCCGGTTCCGACCTCCCTCCTTTCCCTGCTCGGGAGGTTTTACCCCCCCCCTCCCTGGGTCTGGGCGGGCCCCCCACGGCGTGTCCGAGCGCGTCCCTGCTTGCCCAAGACAGCTCCAGGAGGGCTTCAGCTAGCCCACGATGGCCTCCAATGTCGCCCAGGATGCCTCAAGATGGCTCGATGTACAGTCGGGGCGTTGACCTAAGGAACCCTGAATAAGGAACGAGGCTCCTATTTTCCATAAGTTAAACTTCGATGTCACATCGAAAACCTAAGGAAAACCTGAGGCAAGCTGCGAAACAATTAAGGAACACGGAGCCCCTCCCCAATGAAAAGGGTTCCTTCTTCAGCGCCCCGACTGTAGCCTCCGACACGCGTCCAAGAGGTCCCAAGACGGCCCCAAGGCGGCTTCAGGTGCCCTCCGAGCCCTCCGAGGACCCCCCCAAGAGGCCAACAGCACTCGAAAGCCTGAGGACAACCAATGGTGTGTGTGTGTGCCTTCTCGCTTTTTCGTCTGGTGAGTTCTTGAGGCCGTAAGATGGCGCTAAGAATGCCAAACATAGCCCCCAAAGGGGGCCAAGAGGCCCCCAAACTGCCCCAAGAGCGCCCAAGAGCGCTCCAAGAGCGGTTCAAGAGGGCCAGAAGACAGCATGTGTGAGCCTCCCAGGGGGCGACGGGAATTAAGACCCCTCCTCTTTTTGAACAATGGGGCCCAAGACGGCCGCCCAAAAGGCTTCCCAGACCCCCCCCCAAACGAGCCCCAAGAGGGCTCCAAGACCCCCAATAGAGCCCCAAGAGGGCCCCCAAAGGGCCCCGAGCGGACCCCAAGAGGGCCCCAAGATGGCGCCCAAATGGCATTGCGAGTCTTCGAAGAACCCCTCACCACGACATATCCCTCAAGCCCGACTTCCCGTCCTCCTTGTCATCGTCCGTTCCTTCCTTGCTTCTTTCCTGCCGTCTCCCTGCTCCTCTTCATCCTCCTCGCGGCGCATTCCTCCTGCTCCTCCTCCTTCCCGTCCTCCTTACGTGTTTGTCCTCCTCCTCCTCCTCCTCCTCCTTCTCCTCCTCCTCCGCCTCCTCCTCCTGCGCCTCCTCCTCCTACTCCTCCTCTTACCCTCAAGATGGTCCCAGGCATCACCAGCACCAGCAGCACCAGCAGTAGCACCAGCATCAACACCAGCAGCAGCGGTACCAAAAACACAAACTACAACGACAACACCAACGATACGATCAGCTACTTCACCGCCGACACCCTTCGCGACAAGCGATTTCCCAACTCACTGGCGTTGCCAATCAAGCCGCCGTGGTAAGACGCCACATACGTTTACCACGGAAAACGTCACGGCGCATCGTGCACTAACTTCCATCTTAAACTTCAATGGGGAGGCTATGTGTGATCCTTGATGCTTCTGGCCCAGGGTACGGAACCCCCTATCTGAAAACAACAATGCCTGTGCGTACGGCGGTGTCTGTGTGCAGCTTCTGCGCCCCTTTCCAACACGCTCCCTAGGCGGTTGCGAAACCTCGTGCTCCCAAGGCGGTTGTGCAACTGCGTGCCCTCAGCGCCCCAAGAGGACCTCGGACATGCCCCACGAGAACCAAACAGAGCTCCAGATGGCGCCAATATGGCATTGGCATTGGAGCCTGCTGAATGGTACAAACATGCGCACA